CTGAACCTCGTGACTCAATGGGAGGGCCTCCTTCAGCCACACATCAGACTCGTACCCTTTTACACGACAACTTGTCATAATTGTTATGGATCAATTTCTTTCACTTTTATTAAAATTAACTAGTACTTCATTCTGTAAGTTTATTTTCTTCAAAGGAAGTAAATGGATGATAAAGAACTACTCGTAACAACAACAATCATCATCATCATAATAATGATTCCATCCTAAATTAACACCCTGACACAAACACCGTATCACTCTTCACTGGGCTAGTAAACTTCTAATTATTACTAAACAAATTCACCTTTTTCAAATGAGAAAAGTGTGCACTACCTATGTGAATAAAGCATATTTATCACACATAGCAGACATATCTTAACATTAAATTTATGTTTTCAAATGAAGTTTTACTCTATTTTTTCTCCTACTCCTTCCAAAACAGCTAGAGGGAATCTGAGTAGCAATCTCTAGAGTACTGTATGAAAACAAGTGCCTAAAGCTAAACCAATCCATCAAGATCAAAGGCTGTTTGTGAGCTACTGCCTTCTATCCAAGCTCAAAAATATATGACAAGCGGAGGAGGGGAAAGACACTTCAACCTAAACTAAGCCCTTGGTAAAAGGACAGCAATCGGTCAACCACACAAGGTAGCGCATTCGGTATTTGCGACAAAACAACGGAAAAAGAATTTTTTTAAACGTTCACAGAAAATTCTACCACCAATATGAACAGGCTTTGCTCTTGATATGAACAGTTACAAGGCATCTGAACAGTGTCAGCTTTGATTTGCTCTGATTCACCAGTATTTCTCTTGACCTTTTTGTCATGACAAGGTGGTAGATCTTTTTCTAGTCTATGCTTTTAAGTTGCTTTTTTTCATATTACATGGTACTTTCTGAAGGAGATTTCAGAATATTTTCTGTAATTTAAATGGGTAAAATCCCCTTTATTTCTCTCTTCTGCTTTTGATAAATTAGATTCTCTTTAAAACTAAACAATCCAGAATATGTGATAATTGGATTTTAAACAGCCTTGCTCTCTTCTATCATCTCCTGTCATAAAGATATAGGTAGATCTGAAAAGCAAAACTATGAGATCATTTTTTTTTAATTTGATAGAAAAAGTTCACTCAAACACAGCACAACAGGGAACACAAGGAAAATACTATACTAGTCATATGCAGTCTTACAAGTGATTCGTAATGACTTCCCTTGGGTGACTCTTCCAGATTTCTCAAAATTAGTGTTTTCAGTTAACAAATTGTTTCAGGAATTTGGCTCAAGGGCAAAAAAACAGAACAAAAAGACTTTTGTAAGTATGAAAACGGGCACAAGATTAAAAGAAACTTGGGAGAAGACAAAAAAGTAAAGTGATGCTTAATTTTCGGCTGGGGATTGGTAACTGAAAAACTAATTATTTTTTTCAATTTCATTTTAATAAATGTTGAAATTTAAATGAAATTATATCCCAATTGAGCTTGTATTTAAATTAAACTTGATAATAAATCCTTTCTTTGAAATAGTACCATCTGCCTTATTACAAGGCCGTGCTCTTGGGAAGCAGGGGGCCAAGCATGGAAGAGGAGACAATCCTCAGACAAAAATTAAATTAAGCTTCTAACAGTAATTACTAAGTAATAAGGAAAAATCAAATAATTGTAAAGCATCTAAGCTATCTACATCATCACCTTCAGGCTATTTTTGTCAATCAAAGACCAAAATTAGGAGTTCCAGAAGTTGATCGAAAGAGGTAGATGCTTCCTGGACAATGGCACACTGCTAGCATTAACACAGAAAGCATTCATTACAAGATGTGTCACAGTCTTTCATAAGATTTTCTTTTGCCAGCCTATAACTCCAAGAAAGTATGGCAATATCAGTAAGAGGGCTGATTCGGTATGGGTAGACTTTTAAAATAACACAAACCCAAATGTGGCTAGAAATGGTGAAAGCAATGAACTGTGAAGAGGTCAATTTACACTACGAGTTAATTGTTACTAGTACATTCATTCTTTTTTACTACATACATACCATACATGTAGTTTGTATACTACATAAAACAAGCATACACCAGAAATTTGTCATTTAGACAAGCTCTACTAGAACAGCTGTCTCCAGCAATGCAGATATTTTCAAAATGTCAATGCATAATAGAAACTGAGTACTCTTCCTGAAAACTTCATGACTACTTTGTGAAATTGCAAAGTATGTATGCTTTAAATATATACCAGCTGCACAAACTTACGGCAAACTGGAACAAGGTGCCATTTACAGACAATTTTGAAGTCACAATGTCTTTTGTGTTTCTTCCTTTAAATGGTTGACCGAAAGTGCCTCTGAGGTGCAGAGAAATAGTATTGTGATTTATTTAAATTTTTTAAAAGCTTGGTTTCTCAGGGTAATTAAATAATTTGAGATCATTGTATAGAATCATAGAATCATTTAGGTTGGAAAAGACTCTTAAGATCAAGTCCAACTGTTAACCTAACACTACCAAGTCCACCACTAAATCATGCTCTTATCAGTTCTTTCTCTCTACACCCTTTAAACTACATTAAATGCTATTGATCATATTCAAGAAGGAAAAATAAACAAAACTCCAAACCCCAATGCTCAGACAGAAGACTGAGCCCAAACTAAGGTTCCAATTAAGTAAAGGCAAGTTTTTTTGCATCTCTCCATTCCCACAGACAGCAGCCAGTCAGTACACTGTAACTCCAAACCCACAAATCCATGTTTCTACCAGCTTGTATGGACAAGAAGAAAGAAACCCAAAGGAGCTGAAGATATCTCCATTTCAAACATTTAACTTAAACACTAACTAATAGGGCTAGTTAATCACTAGTTCCATTCTAGATCAATTAATGAAGAACTTTAAAATCTTAGATACTGTTCAAAAGTCAGGTCTGAATATGCTTCAGTAAACTTCCTGCACACCCTAGGATGAATTTCATAGAGTAAAAGACATATACTCCAGGAACAGGAAAAATAAAAAGCCATTATAATGAATATATCTCTGGGATGGTTTTGCAATCATCAAAACAACTTTAAAATGCTGTGGATTTATATCCTAAGTTTTGATTTATATATGTTCAATGTGGTTATACAGAATAAAGATGTGAAGCTGCAATTAAAGAAAAAACCAGATGTGCAATGCAACCGTAGGGTGTTGAGACTGTTTATCATTATTGAAAAAATAAATCTGAATATTCCTTACCTCAAATGTCCACTCTTCTTCTTTATCTCCATCCAGAAGCATTTCTGTCTCCTTATATACCTTCCCTATTTCCAGTTGCAATGGGGACACATTAAATTCAATTCTTTGCAAGTTAAAGCCAATTCCGACTCCAATGGCCTTTAAGAAGCTTTCCTTTAAGGCCTAAAACATAGAATAAATGTATTTTATTGCTGTTTTCAAACTGTTCTATAAACATTACTTCTGAGCAGACACTGTAGACTAAATAAATTTAAGATTTATACTACTGTAAATGTGAGGGTAGACTGATGAAATTATCAAGAGAAAAATTAATACCTAGCCTAACTTGCTGCATCATAATCAACATGCAACCAGAATCACCTAGTGGCACATACAGACATGAACCCTCCACCTTGTTCTGAGTCTGCATTTAAAACTAATCATAAATCCTTCTAGAAATGTCAGCTGTACTGTGGTTCTTAAAGTTATGCTGACATTAGAAAAATCACTAAAATATAAAACCCATTAAAACATTATCTCCATATGAACATGCAACTATAAAAAGTATAAAATTTTACCATAATGAAAATAATGACAAAATATATCAGAAGAGAACGTGCAGGTTATGGCATTGCAGTCTTTAAGTAGAAAATAAAAAATTACCCAGTGTCGATGAAACATATCCAGCTGCATCCATTCATTACTCATAGACTTGATTACACCCCACTCTGTTTCAGTAAACTGTCTATTCATGATGCGAAAGAAATTTGGAATTGAGCTACTACCTATAAATTAGAAAGAGATATTTACAGAAATGTTAATAGAGTAGTAATAATAGGCAAATGAATTACCTCATGTTATTGCTCTAGAAAAAACTCATAAGAAAAAAAAATTATGAACCAACTGTGCTCTTCAATCAGAATTTACACAGCCTCAAAGCAGTGATGCTGATGACTGTTCAGGACAGTATAAAAAAAAGCCATTCCTATAGCAGAATTACTGCATTAAAATTGTGACAGGGAAGTCATAAACATATTATGTATTTTCAGCATTCTCTAAAAAAGAAAGTATTTAACCAGCACTGATTTTATATAAAAAAATTATATTCTGCTACAAAAGTAGCATATACATTATTTGATATCTGACAGCTTGATCTAGTAACATTTTATAAAACAGCATGCTGTTTGTCAGAATTCATCAAGTAATTCTGCCTCCGTCCCTTGGATGCTGGGATATGAAACAAACACTTTTTACAGCACAAGTAGAAATACAATCTCCCAAGTTTATCACATGCATATTAAGTCTTTTGGATTTACTCTGCAAGAAAAGTGGGGGTAGGGACATACTCATAATCACAGTAAGATATCAAGGAAAAAACAACTGCCAAACCTTCAAATCCTTAGATGAAATTTAAGCCTCCTCTAAAAATAAGCACAGCTGTTGTAGCACTGCAGCAGCTCTTCAGGGCTACACCACTTTTCCCCACTAGTCTAAATTTACTTTGCAGAAGACGCTACAGACTGTGTGCTTATATTGATTGATCAATGGCATTTCTATAATACACTGGAAGCTATGGACCTCATTACACACTTGGTTAATCACCCACAGCCTATAACATTAATCAGCATACCATGTAATGTGTCCAATAGGGCTTACAGCTGGCTAAACAAGACAATGGCAGAAAACAATCTATTTTCTTTAGTAGGGATAATAAAAATCTGGATAGAGACGATTCCACATATTGAGACAATTTTTTTCCATAAGTTATGCAATGTTCTTATTAAAAAGACAGTATTAATTGTATTTAATCCAAAACATAGTCTCTCCTCCCAATATCACACTACTTTTAACGAACCTATCACTAAGTATTTGCCTAACAAAGATGTAGATTCTAACCCTAGCTCTGCCACTGATCTTGTGAGTGACTATGGGGAAGGAACTTCCCTTCTCTACACTAGTGTTCCCCATCTTAAACCAGGGATGAGAGAATTAACCCTTCTCTATAAAGTGGTTGTCTTCTGCAGATATCTAAGAACTATATAAAAACAGGTATTGGCAGCAGTAATAATTGATCTGAATGAACTAATGTCACGCTAAAGCACACATTCAGGTTTTCTGACAATTTCCAGATCATACTGCAAAGTGTAATCTTACATACCGTACACATCACACCAGACATGGCAGTGACATTTCAGAGATGCCCTCAATTTCATTTATAGACTAAAGTGAAGAAAACATCTTAAGACAGACATTTTGTTGACAGTTGCAGCAGTCAACTAAAGGAATGATCCAGAAAAATCTAAGGACATGTATGGGTTTGTGTGGCAAGGATTTGGTAGCGGGGGGCAGGGCTACAGGCGTGGCTTCTGCAAGAAGCTGCTAGAAGCTTCCTCTATGTCCAACAAAGCCAATGCCAGCCGGCTCCAAGACGGACCCACTGCTGGCCAAGGCTGAGCCCATCAGTGATGGTGGTAGTGCCTCTGGGATAATATAGGTAAGAAGGGAAAACAAAAACCAACCACCCACAAACAGCAATTGCAGATGGAGAGAGGAGTGAGACAATGTGAGAGGAACAACTCTGCAGACCCCAAAGTCAGTGCAGAAGGAGGGGGAAGAGGTGCTCCAGGGGCCAGAGCAGAGATTCCTCTGCAGCCCATGGAGAAGACCATAGTGAGACAGGCTGTGCCCCTGCAGCCCATGCAGGTTAACAGTGGAGCAGATATCCACCTACAGCCCATGGAGGACCCCACGTCAGAGCAGATGGATGCACCCGAAGGAGTCTGTGACCCCATGGGAAGCCCACACTTGAGCAGGCTCCTCGCAGGAGCTGTTGTCCTACGGAGAGAGGAACCCAGGCCAGAGCAGGTTTGCTGGCAGGACTTGTGACCTTGTGGAAGACTCACGCTGGAGCAGTTCATGAAGAACTGCAGCCCATGGGAAGGACCCACGTTGGAGAAGTTGGTGGAGGACTGTGTCCTGTGGGAGGGACCCCAGGCTGGAGGAGGGGAAGAATGTGAGGAGTCCTCCCCCTGAGAAGGAACAAGTGGCAGAGATAATGTGTGATGAACTGACCAGAACCCCCATTCCCTGTCCCCCTGTGCCACTGGGAAGGGAGAAGGTAGAGAAATAGGGAGTGAAGTTGAGCCCAGGAAGAAGGTAGGGGTGGGGGAAAGGTGTTTTAAAGATTTGAGTTTATTTCTCATTACTCTACTCTGATTTGATTTGTAATAACTGAAATTAATTTTCCAGAGTTGCGTGTGTTTTGCCTGTGACGGTAACACACGAATGATCTCCTCCTGTCCTTATCTTGACCCACGAGCCTTTTGTTATACTTTCTCTCCCCTGCCCAACTGAGGAGGGCAGAGAAAGAGCAGCTTTGAGGGGCACCTGATGTCCAGCCAGGATCAACCCACCACAGGACAGAACTAACTTTCCTCTCTGGACAAAATGATGATACTGAAAAAGAAAAGCAACCACAATGTCTATACGTTTTGATAGATTACCAAAGCAAATGAAATATCCATCCACTTAGACAACCCACCTTCCCTAAAACAATGAAAAATAACAAAGAAATTTGTTCAACTTGGAGAAAGGTTATTGTCTTTCATCTGAGTTTATATGGCCCATTTTATGATCAAATAACTGTGTTAACACCTGCTCCAAACAATCCACTTATTTTTTATTTCTCTTCTTCTCTCAAGTATTTAAGACAACAGTGGTGAGGCACCAGCCTCTTCAGGTGATTCAAACTACAAAACATTCAAGAATCGCCCAGTGTAGCCTTCCTTCTCCATTACTTTCAGAGAGTTCTCTTGCCTTCAGTAACCCAGCGCTATTCACGCTACCAGAGCAGACTATCCCAGACTATCCACACTACACTGCCTTCAGCACTGTGAGGCGTACAATGCCTCCTACATCATCAGTCCTCCCACCATTCAAACCTTATCAGGTATGGTGAAAACACTCAATACTTAAACTGTTTAGCATATCAAGTGTGTATCAAACCCATATGCTACCTCCTTTTCACTCCTTACCCCTTTTTTGTCCTAGGTTTCTTAACTGTTCAGCTACCCTTCTTGATGCTTATGTTCAAATTTACACAGTACTCTCCCCTCCATTCCAGCCGTCTGTCATGTCCCTCCTCTGAAAAGCTCAGGCACCGCTTTCTCCTGAGCTTCCCTCCCCTCCCATTTTCTCCTTCAGACAGTGCAGTTGCTTTCCTCTGAGGAATGGATCAGATTAGAGGAGCCAGGACTACTATTCTCCACAAATTACTAGCAGTACCACAGCCTGCCTAGTCCATTTCTCCATATTTGCTTGAATAAGAGAGAGAGATTGGTTCACAGAATCATGGAAAAATTTAGGTTGGAAAAGACCTCTGGAGACCATCTGGTTCAATCTTCTGTTGAAAACAGAGCCTTATATTAGGTTACTCATGGCCCTGTCAAGCAGTCTTTCACCCCTGCTCTGGGCAACTTATTCCAGTGTTTCACTGTTCTCATGGTAAAGAAGTGTTTTCTTTTATCCAGACAGAATTTCCCCCGAAGCAACCTGAGCCTGTTGCCTTTTGCCCTGACCCTCTGCACCCTCATGAAGACAGCTACCTACATCTTGACTACAGCTACCTTTCAGATAGACTGTTGTTAGATTCCCCTCCTCAGATACCCTCTTCAGGCTCAACAAATCCAGCTCCACCAACATTTCTACGCAGGTCAAGTTCCCCAACCCTCTAATCACCTTGGTGACCCTTCACTAAACCCTCAATGCTCCTATGTCTCTCATGACCTGAGGGATGAGGAGGGGACAAAACTAGAAGCAGTAGAAACTTTTCTTTTAGATGTGACCTTTTTTGCTTTTACTTTGAGCAAAAAAGCCTCAAACATACTCACCACAATTGACAAAATCTTCCTTTGAAAGGATGGGAACAAGTCCCATATAGCAATTATTCAGTTGGTTTTAAATTTGCATTTCTAAATTACCTCTCATTTGCAAGCTGTTTCAGAAGTAAACACGCCTTTCAACAATTATACAAACACTTGCACTTATTTCTGTGACCATTTAAATTCATTAATAATCTAAGTTCTTGTTTACAAAATAATTATATTTCATTAAAAACACACCAAAGAGCTTTTATGACAAATTATTCCCATATGTATATTTTAGAGCTAACAGCTATTTTGGATACAATTTTGGATAACGCATAGTATAGCCTACAGATGATCATCTGAGGCGTAGGGCAAGACAGGGCCAGTTAATCACCTTTCAGTTGGGTCCTTCAGTGAACAACTGAGCTTCCTATTCCAATGATAACTTTCTAAGACCTTCCTAAGTCTTTTTCCTCCTGTGTTTACTTCCTGTATTTTTCTCTCAGAGAAGTTTAGGAAAAGTGCTAAACATTTTTAGTAATCTCAAAGTCTACTCTGTAAAATTTAAGTGAAGAAAGAAAAAATGTGCCCCGATATTTTAATGATCTTCGTGAAGCCACAATATTTTCTACAAGGAAAAAACAAAGACCATGTAACAGAATACAAAAGAAATTGGAATTCAAGTTGGAACTCCGACAGGAAATAAAGGCAAGGCAAAAAAGTATTTGTAAGTGTTATCAACCCAACATACTAAATTATTCTTAAAAGTAGTTTTAAAAAATGTCAGAGGATCTTCTCCAATACTTGCAGAGTATTCACCACAAAGATGACATAACATGATAAACATTCTCATAAACATAGTCAGGTTTTGGCTTTACGTTCAGACTTGTGTTAACTAACTAAAAATGTGAACTGAGTAT